TGAAAACCAAGACGGAACATGAAGTGCCACTTGACCCAAGTGGGGAAAGATCACATCAACTAACAAGTTAAACTTTCCTACACACACACACACGCAAACACACACACTCCCATTACTCTCTACCTCCAAATATTGACTTTAAAATGAGCCAATGGCTATGATTATGTAAGAATGTTTTCCCTTATATGATATGTAAGAGCATGACTAGGAATATACGAAAACAATTGTTCGCTCACCGACTCCTTTTCCTAAACACAGAGGCTTGGCCGTTTGACGCAAGTTCCAATCCTCCCTCATCCTCTTGTCTCGAATGTATTTTTTATTGGGCTTGAACAATTGTACCCCCTAAAACTAAACCCTTTCGGAATTGTGTTTCATTGTTACAACGCTTTTTGCGGTGTATCATGTCTTATGTGTATCATTGTAAGCGCTTTGAATAAGTTAAAGGCATTTCCGGTCCACATCATTCCTTTCAATTAGGCTTCTCTGTTACCATTTACTGGAATTACATTGTCCGTTATACTTTCCATAGTTTGGTAGACTTCAGCGCACGAAAGATCACATCGAATCTCAGTTACTGTTCTTCCACTTTGTTATTGATTTACTTGGCAGAGATTTTTTAATTGAGTGTATCGATTCTGATTTGAAGCATAAGAGAAGTGGAGAAATCGATTTTATTCTGCATTGATGGTTATTGTTGTCATACAAATGCCTGCTTTCAATATTCAATTTGTTTAGTTGTACAATATTCAAGGCGCATGGCAGTAAAACCTAACAACCGCACTGTCTACCAGCATTTCCACCCAAACATGTCTGCCACATCGAATGGTACGCAAGTTCAAACCACGAATTTAACAACCACTTGCTAATTAACTATTGTCCAATCCTAAGTGAGTTCTTCAGATTGGGTGTCCTCATAATTCTCCACCTCATTCTATCTGATTTCAGTTCCGAAATCAACAGCTTGTGTGCATGGAGCTTCCAATGGAGAAACCATTCCATAACAATTGAACTGGTAATAATTAGGTCAACTGGACATGGTGAAACATGAACATCTTACCTATATAAATGTCCCACTACGTTGACCGTTTTACTTGTGTGGACGTGTGGCAATTCCAACTGGGGCGCGATGGGCAAGTGCCAGTTGAGAGTACTTTTGCATCCATGGCTCATTTATTACCTTTGTTCTTTTCTACGGATTGTTTCGGGCTATCATTTGAGTAAGTGCTCATGTTCATATAAATCTTTTAAATTAGAAAATGATCGAGATTCTTTTGTAATATTGCAGTGAATTTGTTGAACGTTACTTACTAGATTAAAAAGCAGGTCATTGAGATACGAATATTGTCATACTTAAAAACATTTATTCTTTTTAGTTCAAAAGATGCGTTATTATAAACTACGGGGAAGAATAACTTTTATGGTTTTCACTTACAGTCAACTGTATTAGGAGAAATAGGTCCTGGTATCACAGAGAGGATATAAAACTCTTTTTTGTTACACCTAATTGTATCGTACTTCTAAATTACCACTGAGCGATGCTCTTTTCAATATTATCTTCTGAAATTGTCACTTTAACTGTCTAATATATCTCGATTAAATTTTATGGTTTAAATTGACACGTGATTCAGCAATTTTTTGAGCCTGATAGAATAGTTTAGACTCTAATATTCATCGACCAGGTTCCATCATTGTTTTAACATGCTCGTTTTTCGCTGATTATACTGGATTGTATTCAATACTATAGTACAATAATTCGTTCTCGTAGTCCAGTAAATATTTTCAAAGTCAAAGTAAATTAATCCTGTAATTCGGAATTTATAACTAAATAATACAAATCATTCTTTGTTTACGAATACCAATTCTTAGTTGGGCTCCATGACGTCAGATATTAGTTTATAATATGTGTCGCTATTTACAATCTCTGGTGGTTTTATTACATTTACTCCTACTATTTTGCTCTTTATCACCGCATCTCATTAACCACACATTACTACGTTTTATTTCATTTTGTCCATTTCTATTAGTTACAATGTTGTCAACCTCGTGCTGACAGAAGACAACTCAACAAACATATCATGTATAACATTGTAAATGGATAAGTCCAGACTGCTTATCGATAAGGGACAAAAAGGCAAAACAAAACATGCGCAGATGATGGACATTGTCAAGGCATAAAACACAGCACAATGAATTGGAAATTCGTGTAATTTAGATTTCAGAAAACTGTTATTCCCATTTGATCGTTTTTTTTGTTAGTTAATCGTTTGGACCGCCGTAAAACTCACCATCCTCGGTCCTTTTTAAGCACAATTCACAACCTCAAATGATTTCGGCACACAAACATCAAGTGAACCTCTTTCACTTGAGTGACAGTAAATACGTAAACGGTTACTTATGACAAATCTATTCTTAAGTCTATTGCGCGCCTAGATGGGTGATGGAGAGCAGACACAATTGTTGGTCAATATCGATTCCATTCATTCGGTTCCGTTCCGTTCACGTTACATTAATTGCTGTGTTTTGAAGGGATCAAAGAAACCAAGTGGCTGTGTTATTTCTTGCGTTCTCCGAATTTTGCACCACTGGTCGTTTCAAAGGCCTTAGCTTCAACGGATATCTTGTTGTGTTCGTTGAGATAGTCACTACATGTGCGAAATCATGTTGAATAGAGGATTTGACAGTTAAGCCGAAAAGGTCATAGCATGATGCTGAACCCTGCGTTTGATTAGGTTATGATATTTCTGTAAAATTTGATTTTTTTGACAGCTTTCATGCACGTACTTAAGTGAGTTCATGAGTTCTGCTAATCATCTTATCATAAAATTCTCCTAATCATGATACGCTAAATATTAGGACCTGCAATGTTGCTCTTCTTTGATATACCATCAAGTGATAACGTTTTACAGATAACCTTTGACAAGTTGTCTCGATGAGTGACGATTAGGAACCACACGGAGGATTTCTGACACATGTTAAATCCCCTTAAGTCCTCTTAAGTAATCGGCGGACCCGAGAAATAGATATAACACTGGCTTTCATTCTAACTTCTGCAGGATGAAACTCCGGGCCTCCTCAATTTCCCATCAGCTGTAAGAGTGAGAAGAATGAAACTATGTAATTATAATAAATCCATGAATGAATTTTCGATTAAGACTTGGGAATTTGTGATAATACGATGAATAGACTAACGACTATCATTGCATAACGATATAATTACATGATTTGTTATGAAATGCGATCTAATCTCGCACAAATGATGCAACAACTATCATAATCTACCATTTCATAATTGATATTTTTGTTTCGTAAAAAAGCACTCAGCTGTGAACCTACTCCGGATCTATAAATTTTTCCGGAACACAAAATAATGTTCCACTAATTTGACTTTTAAGCAATTCATCGAAGGAACGAGAGCAGTGTTTAGCTTCATACTAACATCACGCACACTATGCATTTTGGCATAAAATCCTATTTCATAACACTTGAATAATAGGAGTGATTTTGTCGCGACCGTAAAATTATGAATGACAGAATGAACTGCACGTATCGACTGCAAACCATCGAATGCGGTGTATAGCTCCGTTGCTTGATATCTCTTTGATCAGGCGTACGGATCGCTTCCTACTAGAGATAAAGATACGTGAACACATTCTCAGTTTGAAGCTAGGTTAATCTGGCTTTAGGTTTCACAATCTCTTCATGACCTACTGCGTGTGTACGCCCCATGATATCGGTACGTTTTCACTTTCATCGTTTATAGCTTTCGTGACTGCGCTCGATGGCACTTGGGTCCGGCAAGTAGCAGATCTGGCCAAACGAAAACTTGAAGAGGAGCAAGGACATTCGGTGACTTTCACTCATCTGATGCTGGATTTAAACCAGAGCCGAACATACGCTAACTTCACCCAAAGAAGTGAGTTGATTTTTACTTCTTCACGCAACAGAAGTTAATTAGCTTTGTGCATACAATTAGTTCCGATTTGTTTAAATTGTTGTTTGGCAGATTTGAAGTTTGTACGGTGTTTGTGAAAAGTTCAGGAGCCTCGGTGAGATTCGAACCCACGCATAGACGACCCGTACACTTTGTACGCGCACACTCTACCAGTTGAGCTACAAGGCCACGCCGAGAGTACTGATCTTTTCACATTCGAATTACCTATCCAACTTACAGAGGCATATGGCATCCACCAGTTAGCATGTATGCCGACTGCCCTTACAGGTCAAAATTGACATGTTTGTGTACTGGCGAACACACACGGAATCAATACGAAGGCCAAAGGTCACAAAATCGAACCGAATTGGGAAAGGGAACAGGAAGCCTAATCACTTCAATGGGACAGTCGCACCTACCAGGGTAGCACAAGGCTGGTCTGATTACATAAGTCTGGCCTGTAACGTAGAATGGCGGATTCTTCAACAAACCACCACTGGACGGTTACCTTTTTGGAGTTGAAAACATGAATGGCTTTCATAAATTTATCACATTCCTTGCCCCGGATCTTGTCACTCTTTCAACCAAAGGTGACCTAGGTGAAAGATGATTAAATTGCCATAATATATTAAATTCATCGTATCCTGTGATCGTGATGCTTCTTCTTGTCTTTTATAAAAATGTTCAAGGGAACTGGTGGCACGAGAAATTTTTCTGACTAGGAACGTAACCTGAGTGAACTCTTTGTTCATGTTATCTGATCGGATGAAACCGCCTCAAGCAGTTTAGAAATCGTATCATCATTCTGTGTCCATGGTTGAGGATAGGCGAAGTTTTGAAATACCTATGCCAAGTAATATTTCCCGAATTTCCTACCGATTGTCATGGGGGAACCTCGGTTAGGTTCTGATAAAATATAAAAAGTTGTTTCCGCTGGAAACGCTTATCTACTACTGACAGATGTCTGCTGAATGCACTCACGTCTCAATCAATGTTGACAGAATTACCCAACACTCTTCTGTAAAATAGCGTCATTCCACTTTAAATCAGAACCTTACGCGAATTCAACTCCCAGTTACTTGTGAGTAGTGGTGTGGGATAAATTATATTGCTTTGGTTTGACCATCCTCGGAACTTCATTCTCACAATCTATGTTTCATCCAGTGAATGGTGGACTGTAAAAACTGAGGATTGTGCATGAAGATGCAGTTTGAAGTAGGATCATTCTAACTCAGGGTCTTACTCTCTTGGTTTCTAGCACGAAAATTAAGGTATTTTTGTTTTACACGATTCATCCAGTCTTAGTCCTTCCTGTTGCTTATATTTAAACGTCCTTTGTCTGCATACATTTCTTTGAGACTTTCTTTGTCTACCCTGGTTTTAATCTAAAGGATTCGAAATGTGTATTCAATTCCCCTAAATTTGTTTATATTTTAGGGGTTCACCCCGTGACAATCTTATTCACGCGATTTCCTCTCATCACATCAAAGCGATGAAAAGCTGTTTCAGCGGAATCCCATTTGGTACCACACATTCTTTTCACGAGTGCTCAGCTAAATTTGTATCATGGTTCACTGCGCGTGGTTGCACGTGTTGGCAGCAACTGCTGAACCCAAACCCCTTAGCGTTGTTATACTTTGCTATATTTATCTGCAACTCTGATGGCACTACCCGTTAATTGATTGCACAGTTTCTTTCTAGCCATGCAATATTGATACAGCCTCATTGTTATCAGGGATGGTAATGAATATGCGTCCTAGGATACAATGAAGCAAATACTTGGTTCACCCTATCCGGGGTACTATGGTATTTCTTAGCTGGCTCCTGTTCATTTCCTCTTCAATCTTCAGTGTGTCGACAAATTGCCACAGGAGCTATCGCCTATCCGGACGTTCTGATTGACTTGACAAATTCAACAGCGAGTCTTCTGATGCTACGCAGACTGAGTGTTCAGCTGGACACGGGGTTTATTTCCGCACATGGGACTGATTTTATTGAGCAAACCAGGACACAAAGTTCCACGGATGCGAACTGGACAATTTCTGGCAATCCAATTTTAAGCATGGGATTTCCAAGCCATGCTCCTATAACTGCCGCGAAATTTTTTGCTAACAAAATGCACCCATTGGCCACGTGCGGTGCTATCTCATTTGCATCTGAGGATATTGGTAAGAGTTGCCTGTGCAGTGCAATTAGTATCCGAAGGACTATCACTAATCCGGAAAGCGTGCGCTTCCTCGCCCAGTTAAACCGTGCTTCTTTATTCCACTTCATTATTAACATCTAACGCGATGACAATTCGTTTTCCGCGTTCTTATTCTATTCAGTTCCTCAGAAAAGTGTTAATAAATAATTAATTTCTTAATTGCCTATAGCTATCATCAAACAGAGTGGAGAAACTGGTAAAGTGATGGTAAAAGCACTTTATTTGAGTTTGAATATTAGTGTCACACGGTTAGCCTCTACGGAGGGTAGATGAAGCGGTTTTTTCGAGTAATAACGTTTGAAATATTACCTCCTTTTCAACGCCACGCTGAGAGTCCATAAGGAACAGAGGAATAAATTTTATATGCGCATGTATCATACTACTCAAAAATGCGAGCACAGCACGCTATTATTCAATTGAAAACCAACCGAAATTTCAGTCGAAACAAGTGAAACATCATGTGTGACTTCTAAAGAATTCCAAGCGATATAAAGCTTATGATCGCTTGAGATCTTAAGCAGGGAATACACTTCCTCTTTAGCGCGCATTAGTGTTGATGTTATTGAACTATCACTGATTTTACTGTACTATCGCGCAACCGTCACCCGCTAGATTATAAGTCCAACCCCTGAGTCTCAGAATAAACCATGAGCATTCTCGAGAAGTGTTACAAGTGGTGTCCCTAGAATCATCAAACTTATTCATACCAGGTGTCTTCTCTTGGCCTTGTACACCGAAGTGCAACCCACAAGTTAGCTGGGTTGTTCCCGACTAATTGGTTGCCCCCCCCCTTGCTGAAAAACCTTGTAAAATGACTGGAACTGGACATATAGCAGTTTCCTTGTTAGCGGCAGATGGCATTCGTCAGGCCACGATGTAAACTTTAGACTCCACTGACGTTCTATGGAGAGAACGATTACCAAGGGGAAACTCACCACATCCTCGAGCGCTGTCTTTACTCGTTTGCTGCACTTACTCAGTGAGACTGAGTTCACTGTATACACCAGTATATGTTACTTCGCTGACCGTTGGCCTTATCTGCGACCTTGTGAGAAGTCTCTTATCATAATGCTCCATGTCTGATGCTCATTGAGATATAAAAATACTATGTGAGTAATGAAAACAGAAATAAACAAACTGGTTTTCGGCGATTCACCCACTGGTTAATTCGTCTCAATTTATTCATTACAGCTTGTAAGAAATCACGTTTCAGTTCCATGACCGAATAACTTTCACATGTACTCTTCACGCACCATCATTAAGGAAACAGGGGTGTGTGCTTCGAGTGTAGAAATGGCTGTGGTTAACTGAGTGTTTTTATTGGGTTCATCAATAACTCGGTAAGTTCACACTTGGTGGAATCAAGTCAACAAATCAATCCTGATGAGAGTATCTCGTTCCCTGTATTTTATTTGCAGTCGTCTACTTAGGATTAGTAGAAGTCACATCCTAATCACAGTGGAATCTGTTATGACCTCCTATTTTCACATTCACAAAAAGATCTTCTTTCACCAAGCGGTATGATATATTCCCCAGAAACGAGCTGAAGACGATCAGACTTGATAAATAAAGATCATTTTTTTCTAGAATTTTGGTGGTGGTGTCTGCGGCCATGGGATTTGAACACATTACTTCCAGGATGACGTGGTTCTAACGCATACAAAACCACAGAATATCAGCCCAGAATGACGTCAACCACGTCATTACATTGCTAGATGATGCATCATTTGCTTTACGAAGAAGCAAGTTGACAGCATAAATAAAATGCAGAGTACTGTCATTTTATTTTATTTTACATTTTTTGGTGAGATCTTAGGTAATCACAAGTTAATATAAACCAACACACCGTTTAGTTCAACTTTATGGTTCCACGTGACACAACATCAATTTCTAGCTCAAAGTGTGGTTAAATATCTTTCTGCCCTATCCCCACACCTCATGCCTTGTTTTATTTAGCTTATTCCCGACCGCACAGAAATTCCGAAGAGTCCACTTACATAGAACATCAGAGTTTCTCACTGTCACAAAACACCACTATGGAGGAATATAAAAATTTGTGTCATGGTTTGTTTTACGATTACCATACACATTTTTGGATGTTTGCCATCTCGCGCAGTACAATGAATCGCTTAGTTGACGCTGTGGAATCCGTGTTCAAAGGACAACCACTGAATGGCAGCTTTGTGGTCTATGACACGAACATCAACTTAACTCAGTGCAGACCACTGTGTCGTGTGGTTGTCAACGATACGGATGCGTGCGAGACACTCAAACCCTCCACGTTTATATACTGCGTCAAACTGGATTTAGCAGAAGCAAACCAGACTACTGTGAACCAAATACGACAATATTTGGGAAAGGAATGGAGCTCTCAAACAATCAGACAGGTCAGTTTGTCCCCAGAGTTCCAACATTGTCTCGCATGCTTCATCCGAAGAACCACTAGTAATTACATTGATACACATTAAGTAACCCTGAGACCTTTGGTAATCATAGACCCCGTGCATGCAATAATAGAATATTGTATTTTGTGGAATTAATGCTTTTCAAGCATGGTCCCGTCGTAATTTTGTGAAAGAGTGATGAAGCCCGGCGTACGGATTGCTGATTGCAGATGGATTAACAGAATACTCGGGGAGGCTTTTGTAGTCCGTTTCATTTTTGCAAGCGCTGCAAGAAAACGAGATGTCAGTGAGACCATGCGCAAGACAGATTGCGGTTCCATTATACCTAGCTCAAAACCTTTGACTATGTGCCTGAAGTCCCAATGTACCTAGAACCCCTCATCAGTTGCCAGAGACACGATAAATCAACTAAAGTGGAATTGACGAGAAGATCCTCATGAAACGAAGTACTGATATAATTCCGTATCCTCTTTTAACAACTGGTAAAGTGCACCAGTGAAGGAGGGCACATTAGGCATAGGTTAATTTGAATCAAAAAGCCAGGGTTTACTAATTGTTTATAGTCAATTAAATTGGAGTAAATAAGCAAAGCAGCGCCATGCGTTTTTTGTTCAGTTTGTCAAAAAGTTCCTAACATTTCTCAAGATGAGAGCAATAAAGAATTTGGTTTCATTATATTTGATATATTTTTTGTGTATAGGAAGCATGAGCAGAAAATCTAGAAAGCACTGGACAGCTGTTTTGACCAGAGTGGGCCTAATCAGCAGAGCGAATTCATCGACCTAACTGAGGTATGCTACCTGCATTAAGATCACAAGACGGCTTTTGCTAAATTATGCGTATTCAAAGTGTAAAACAATTTGACCGGCGGCCCGGTAACCAAGTGAGTAATATGCTTGTATCCTACCAATGGTCGGGGGTAGGTGTCTAGGGTTGCGGGCTGGTCACCCTTCCCTTGCACCTTGCGAAATGATTTCACACGACTAAGCGTCTCGAATAACCTCTGCTGAGGAAGCCCTACTCACTACCTTTTCATGGCGGAGGTGTTTCCCACCAAAGTGAGAGGTCAAAAAGCCGACCTCCGGGGCTATAACCGGGTTTTTGAACCACTGGTAGTTCACCTAGGGGAGTTGGCCAAAAACCATGATTCCAAACCAACCATGAGGAGGCGTACAAACCACACACACCTTCCTGGTTGTGGCAGTGGTCACTGGCTGGATTGGGTATCGAGGTGTATTGGGCACGCTGGACGTTTGACCCAGTACAAAGGGCGTACGATTCGATGAACTGGACAATGGCTTCCAATGGACTGCGGTTTTCACACCGCCCCGCTGCCTTGCAGGTCAGACTCTGGCTAGCCGAAGGCTCTGGTTGTGGGTTACTCAAGAAAATTCATTTGACTTGGCCTGGGCAACCTTGTAGTATTGGGCCTACATGCAAATCAGGGAAGGTTTTTCTTTTTCATAAAGATTATTGTACCATGGTTTGTTTGACATATATTCTGGATTCAGTGAAAAAATATATATCCTACCTATGAGGCCCCGTTTTCGATACTCGGGACTGTGTCAACAGGGTCGCACTGTTGATTAGACATGAGCAGCTGTCCAGCGCTTCTAAGCTTTTCAGCTTCAATTACACGACAAATCCGTCACATATTTTGCAAGATAATTAAACACCTTCACGACTACATAGCCCGAATATTTTGTTGTTCTTGATTCCAGAGAAGCTTAAGTATTCACTGATAGTGCTACATTATGAGGATTCCTTCTTTTGAGACAGCATGTACGACGTGTGTTACAAGTGGTCACACAGTACGGACGATGGGCTATGGCATGGAATTGTCTATTTCTCGCAAAAGGAAATCGCAAGAATGATACCGAATTTCTTCTTGCTTTTCCTAGTTTCTCGTAGACCATATCCATATTTTGTTTTGAATATTTGTTTCTCGACGGTTTCCTTGACATTACCCTGTATTGTATCTACTGTAACGTCTTTTGGGGGAGCTGTAGGGTATATGTGTGCTAACCCGTTTATCTATTTGCATGGCCTAAAGATACTTATTCAATTATTCACCGTTTGGTTATTTTAATGAATAAAATTGTGAAACATACATAAGAGAGTCCACTTTCGTTATTAGTTTACGTTTTTCTATTCGTCAGTTTGAAATATAACTATATTGCCTTGGTTAATCACGTCTCTCAACTACAAACTTGGGAATGAGCACCCACTAATAACCTTTTCATTTTTGTTTAATTTTTATTCACCCTTATATTTGAACTTCAACAACCAAAAGATTTTGATTATAACAAAGTGAACACCCCGCATTTATCTGAAAGGAACTTTTATCGATATTTTGTCGTAGATATCTTCAACCAACTGTTTCTTTTTCCATCCAGATTGATGCTCTGTTTGACTATGAAACAGTTTTCACAGCTGGTTTGGCAATGCAAAATCTGACTCAAACTAACCAATGGCCCGCATCACCAGCTGTCAATTTATTGTGCGAGGCAGATCGTGGTGAAGAAGCATCGGCGTTGCGGTACAATTTGTTTCGACAGAAAGTTACTCAGGTTTGCTTAGACCTTTTTCTCAAAGGAGGATACTTACCAACGAAAATCACATCATTTATCTAGCTTTGTTTTTGTTGCGAAAAAGTACTCAGTGGTTTGAAATGAAAATTTGTTTGTAAACACTAAACATCTGCTTTGTTCTGTTTAGAGCATATAAACAGTGCGTACAACATTTCGGGGTCATTCATCCACTAACTTTCCGGTGAGACCCACAACATCACGTCCATGAGCTAAACAACTGGCGCCTGACACCATCAGGAAATACTAAAGTCTATGAGTGGGGTAGTAAACTTCTGCATTCGAAATGCATTAGTTTCCGTTCTAAATCATGTGAACTACGGATATAGTGTAGGTGATTCGTTTTGGCGTGATAACCACATTTGGTTTGCATTCAAAGAGGTGTACTGATTATTTGTCCGGGTGTTGCTGACACCTTCTGAGCTAAGCAAACAAAATGTGTCCTATTGGAATTCCTTTACACCTTCACACCAACGGCACCACCCGTTTATACAGTGAGTTCACTTGATTCCTTATCCAGTTCGTTGAGTGTAATCATTTTATTTTTCTTGAAACCAGAATCACAGTTGTCAGGGTTTATTAAAAGCCTACCAATTTTATTGAATAAGTACGGTAATTGTTGTTTGTAACCTGACCTTCCGCATTGACCAAAAAGACCCCCATCAATTATATATAGTTTATTTAAAGATTTTCGTGAGTGGTTAGCATACTCTATGAGGTTGCCAAACTGTTTCGTCGATGCTATCTCACCATCATATTGGTAATGAATATGTCCTCTTGCCACTTTAAGTACCTGACTCATTTTTCAACAGTCTTTTCTCCATTTTACTGACCAATTCGGACAGGTTTGTAGTACCGAGCAGTTTGAAAGTATGACAAACCTATTTCAGATGCCTTAGCAAACTAATTATTCAGCAGCAATAGCTTGATCTTTTAGGATGAGGTACTTTGAGTCACCCAATCTCTGCTTTTATGTTTTCTGCCTTTCTCACATCTTTTCTCATTGTGTCTTGGCTTATACGGGTATCACACTGATATTAATGTGTTAACTGAAGTAAAAGACTGGTAACGGTGCTGTTTAACAATTCAAAACTACAATGTGCTGAGCATCATTTTAGGTTTGGCGATGATATCGTCATTTGTATCTTCGTTTCTATGACATCCTGTTGTGAAATTCATGATATCAGCATGTCCCACTTCTTCACGTTAGTTAATCCAGTCGGTGTTAATATTTACCCCCATCTAGGTTCCGAATGTGCTTTATTCCAAACCGTTGCCCGCTTGTGTTTGACAATACACATCTTAAAGAAAATGAATTATAATACAATTCCGAAGGCGAACAATTGTTTTCAGTATTTAATAATAATAACCGCATAAATCATATAAGAATAAGCTGTTAGTGGAGACGTTCTCATAACTGATCATTCGGGACGGAATTCGGGAGGGGGTGAGACATGCATCAGATGACTTTGTGTCTCTATTTCGGTGAAATCGATCGTGATTCCTGCCAACTGTCGAGAGATGTTAGCATTTCGTTTACTCTTCTCTGTCCTTGATGTAGAACCATCTGAAATATACGTTATCAGCCTGTGGTGAGCACCTTAATAAGACATGGTAAACTTCTTTTATCCTCTTACTGCACTTTTCGATCTGCTGCGGAGTGATTTTAAATTGCTGAGTGGTGTTTCCTAAATGTCCTTGCTTGTTCTGATAAGCCATATTCGTGACGGACATTTTGATGCGTTATTGAAGATTGCAAAGGAAAATGTTCAACACAATACCCACTGACCTAGCCCTATCCCAGACGAGTTCGAATACCAACTTGTCTTATCTATAAGACAAGTCCCTTTATATAGAAACGTTGATATCTCATCTTGTCCCTTTTTGAAGTAAAAAATTTGCTTCCAACTATATAATTCATAAAGTAACCCATCTTCATTTTTTTTAATGAATCTTTCTTTGTGTGGCTTCCTACCGGCGTTAAACTAAGTTCTTTTTTTCGGTAAAGGCTTATGAAAAACTGAAACTTAAATAGAGATACCGCCATTGGAGAAAAGCTTACTTATATAATTCGATTTCCCAATAACTCTCAGGTTAGTATTCACTGGAATACTTCTTCAGTGCACAGTAAAATGCCCAACAAGTTCTGATTACCACTTAGTTCTTTCAATGTTTTCCTTCGATCAATCCTATTCGCACTCGTTAACTTTATTTCAGCTTCCCCCCAGAACAAGCGCCATTGGAAGGATAGAGTTTAATGGAAGCACCTTCAATCAAAATGCCCGCTTCCGGCTGTACAATTGCTCCACATCAGTCAAAAACGCTTCCATGAATTGCAAAGATCAGGTGATTTGGTTTGTCAATAATTTGCAGTTTCTCTTATTCCTTGCAAATGGGACTAACGATTCACACACAGATTTCTGATGAACAGCTAGAAATAGCAAATTTGCTCCTCCCATTCTTATTTCTAATTACCTTTTTCGAAAAGAATATACACTAATTTTTTCTTAAAGTATGAATATATATATATATAATTTTTCTCACTATCAGATTCGGCCTAAGATTCATTTCTTTATCCATATTCCTAATGTATGATGAATAAATAACCAATTGAACATAGTGATTTGGGTGGACCATTCTCCAAGGTTTGTCTTCATACACATAAACATCAGTTTTTACAGTCAACCAGACACCCGGAGCGCACTATACTCGAATTTCCTTGTGGTTAGGGCTTATAACTAGTGCATACTGACTGTCTCTTCCCGGATTTTATTCCGGACCTATCGCATGGAAAGTCGAGTGTACCAACGAGCCCACATCGGGGCTTAACAGAATTACTCATTCATATTTGCCGCTTTCAGAAACGCATAGTCAATTCATTGGGCCCAACATAAATGAAAGGAGACAGCTGACTCTCCGTTTACTCAACTTGAAGTCTTCCGATAAGTTACGATTCCGGATCAAATGGTGCGAGTTTCCATTGGTAGGATATTCTACCTTGACCAAAGATGAACATCTCGTTTTCGATAATATACTCGTTTGTAGCCTGTATTTTCTGGGTTTATGGGCCGAAAAATATAACTAATCTCAATAAATGGAGAACTTTCATCTCCCTTTGGGAAATCCTTAGGGTTTTCGTTCCTCTCTGAAATTCAGCCGTCACCTTTTGCTCCGGGCATTTTCTTCCCAGTGGACAACAACAAACCGCTTTACAGGCCGGCTAACCCAGTTCGAGGGCAGCTGAGATTTTTGGAAGTGTTTCACAGATGAATTACTTTACTATCTTGCAGTTCGCTTTCGGTTGTACAAAAGCAGGCTATTCTTCCTCGTATAAAACGGACCAAGGAGTTGGGTGCACCGTATTTCTCATCGCTTTTACGCCATTATTGAATTGGTACTTGTGAATGGGGACGAGCACGGTGAGGTTGCAAGTGGGACACCGAAACCCATAAGCAGTCTAGGCAGTCTGGTTATGGAACCAACCGTAAGATTATTATTTGCAATGACCTCACCTCTAACCAATGAGCATAAAACGGCAATATTCAAGAGGACATAGACCCGGCCAATCGATCAGTAGAAGATAGTTATGAAATACAGTTCCCCTGAATGAATACATTCCCTAAAAGAATTATCAATTCATGGTCCACGACGGGTGTTGCATTGGAGTGATAGTTCAGAAAATAAAATGTGAACTGAATTCGCCACAAGGCTGATTCAGATGACTACAGTCTCTTCACCTTCAGTCATTCAAAGTTCATTTGCGGGAATCATCAGTCAACCGTTTGTGAAGTCGCAAGCTGACACGTTGCATGCTTACCTTACCCTTTACCGTTCCTCTGTCCAACTGGGATTCAATTTATTCCGTTCCTGTTTGAATCGGACAGAACGTGACATTTTCTTACTGGAGTCATCAGCTTGTGGGACAGTTCAACGTGACTAAATCAACCCTGGACTATAGCATCCGCGTGTTAGTCATTCAAGTAAGTTCAAATTTATTATTTGATTAACATTTCCATTTTTGGTAAAAACACATTAAAAAATTCAGCTGAGAACTCCGTTTAAGTGCAATTTAATACAGAACGGGTTAGTTACTTTTCTGGGACGGACAGTGTGACGGAATATACTTTGATTCATCTGCTTGAGTTCAAAAGCACAATTTGACTAATATCGTGCTGCCTAGCCGCAATAAGTTTCCTGTGAAAATAATTAGTGTATGTCTTGTGATGTTTCAGTTCGTGTAATTTGCCTGACTAACATTTGTAACAACCAAGAGCAAGTATTCCGAGTACTGAGGCCGAAGCCGAAGCAATTTGGTATCATAAACCAGATCTATTTAAATCACTAGACTTTGTATTTTTTGTGACCCTATTAAGGTAAGGTTACCATCATGGTCCAAATCCCGAAATACGTTGTTCACCATTAATCGATTGCTCGATTGGAGTTCGACTGGAGATATTTGGCCTTCGATTCCTTTTCACCTACTATGGGTGTATAAAGTTTGGTCGCTGTGCGGATCCTACTTTCACATGAAGTTTCGTTCTCAGATGAGGAATTGATGAAGAACGATTGAATTTAACAGGATGGTGATCAGGGGCGGGGCCAACGGTGTGCTTGCATCCCTTACTGATTGGGAAATCGCACTTCTTCTCATATCCTCTGACAGCCTTGTGGTAATGATAACTTCAGCCGTTCCATTCGCACTACAGTTTATAAGACAAAGTAAACAACTGCATCCGATACTACTAATGAAGCAGTACTCAGAACGAGAAAAACGTCTTCCTATCCTCAGATTTTATGAGTCACAGACCTGTATTTTGTGTTCTGAATTCCTTTCGGACCAAATTTTTGTTTTGGCCTGTCCACGGGACATGAAAAAGTGTGATGAACAAGTTTTCTGACAATTCGCTATATCTGGTTTGGGTTAAATTCAGAATTACTTTTTAATTAGGCAATTATTTATATTACTTGCTCAACTAGATGGAACTGCTTCTGTTTGACTTTTCTGGAAAGCCTTTTTTCTGCTTGCAACGTTTCATATTACATCCACTGTCTCGGTGGTGAATGACTTCATTGATTGATGTTTAAAGTTGATGGTTAGGTATCGTTGAACGGAAGTATATATTTGACACAAAACATAGCTCCAAAATGTTTACACATCCGGTAAATCCGAAATTTCTCCGCTGGTGGTCACCAGACACTTTCATTGAAACTGTAAAATTCACAAAACATGATATTTTCTAGTGGATTAAACAGACAGTTGTTTGTTGGAAGTCCTTCTGGTGTACCGCGAGTACGGTTGCACCAAAATTCTGAACTTCTCTAAATGTGCGACGGAATCTACACCGGTGGTTTAAATTACTCCACTCAACCAATGTAGTATGATGACTGAGCTGCAGTAGTGTCACAAAAATAATTTAAACAAAGCTAAACTGCATTCGTTTGATTATTTCGATTTTTTCATGATTTTCAATAACACGGTTCGAGAGAGCGGGATTTGGCGTGTGACACGACTCCTGATTACTCGGTTATATTCTCTTGTTCGTCCGAGATGACGTTTCAAAAGCAAACAATCTTTATAACCTTTCGCATTAGGCTTCTAACTAACGCCTGTAATACCTCATAAGGTTTTGTTAGTAGAATGCAGATGTTCATTTGAATTGTAAAATAAATTGATTGTAATTCGTCACAAAATTCACAACCGTGACGTCAAAGTCCGCAAATTATATGGTTATTGCTCTGTGCTAAGAATTTTTATACTTAGGGAAAGGTAACACTTGGATTAGACTAACCCAAACATAACTGATTTAAAATTCTAAAAGGGATATAGGGCACCAGTTCGGAGGATGCGTTTCCCAATTACTCTACCTCAATCAAGTTTTTTCATCTTTTCATGGCCCTAAATAGTTCCCAGTCGGTCCCAGCTTCCTGCATTAAAGTGGGATCCATCATTCGAAAAGAAAAACTTATTAACAACAATATTACGTTAACCAATGACGTGGTTTGCTATTTTCGTCATAACAGAAGGAAACATGGTTAAATAGCTGTCGCAGGAAAAATGCCCAATCTTTTTCAAGGAATCCCAAGAATCTATGGAGCATTAAATAAAGTAAACACTGTTTACAAATTGACATAAAATGCAAGATTAAACTGACAAGTAATTAAAAACCTTGATATACTGAATGCGTGGTGCTATTGATGTGAATTTAATTTACAGTTTCCAATCCTCAGGATCTGATATTTAAAANCATTTCTATAAGACTTCATATTTTTCCTTGTTGGTATGAGGCCTCTTCATTTTCACCATTTGTGATTCTCTCGCTCAAGCCGCATGACTGGATTTGTCAGTTCTTGTACCCAGAAGGTGAAGGACCTGTGTTTTCAGTGTTCTTTTCTTGTCATTTTCATGACAGTAGCAAACCGATACCTCAAAATGATTATTCNGACAGTGTTTAATATGGGAAAACACGGGTAGCCGAAAACACGATAGGTTGTACTGAAAAAACTTGCGTCGGGGAATATAATGATATTTTAAAAGGAAGATAGATTCTGAAGATAGACCAGAATAAACGTTTTAGAATATACTGTTGACATGAAACCAAGTGTCGGAGACAACCTGGGTAACTTGATTTTAGTGTGTGGAACACAAGCATACACATCCGGATTGAAGCAATCGCATGTTTAGTGACTGTGCATCAATAACGGTTCGGGGTTGGGATGAAACAAACGTGCAATGTCTACATGGTTTGTCACTATGGCACTTTTCTACAAAACCATGTGATACTGCACAAATGCATTTTTAATGAATGTTACAAATCTAGAAAGCCTGAGAATGCAGAACATGACAGAGGCGAGCGGTTAATTTTTCCTTTATTTTTTAATCATCTTACCTATTAGTCAATATATTTGTTCTATAAAGGAAACAAATTTGGTATCCGGTAGAAATACAAACCCTAAATCAAATTGATCACCTAGTGACTTTTGTATTATGAGAAATCTTGTAAAATCTGTCTCCTTTCTGTACTGATATATTTTTTTCTAAAAATGGAATGCTATTTTTAGGATCTTTTTTTACTGTTCCCAGGATCCCCCGTTTGTCTTCAAAACCGCCACTGGATGGGATGGATTCTGCGTGGAAGTGGTTAACATTCTTGCTCAGCGTCTCAATTTGACCGTCAAGTTCATTGAACAGCCTGATGGAAAATATGGTAGCCGGTTCGCCAGTGGACATTGGGATGGAATTATTGGATCGTTGGTCACAAAAGTCAGTCCAATTTTACTAACCTAATTTTCCTGTCGTTTGATAAAACGCAGGATCTTTTCAATGTTTGACAAATGCAATTTTGTGCGACACAATCCAGGCACCTCAGTCCCAACCGAATCCAGGTGTGGATCGAATTGTGGGTGAAGATTAAATTCTATGGCTTCAAACTGCGAATAGGATTCTGATTTTGTAAATACGTAACAAACCAGAAGCCGTATTAAACAACAAAATCGTACTATCCCTGAAGAGTAAACAAGTGCTATAGGGGGATAATGCTGTTCTAAACTATTGGGGCTTCTTATTGTGTTGTCCCATTACAACGTAGGTACCCAATATGTGTGTCTGTATCCCATCGACACTTTGCACTCTCAGAAGTTATATATAATTCGACACATATATCTTCAATATTATAACTGAGAGCTCTTAACACTGATTAGACATATCTAATGGTCAAAAGTCAACTCCTACTTATCAGGCTAATCTTTTATAATTCATCGTAAAGATTTAAAAAGGAAGCGAATGAAACCTAATTTTATGCTGGTCTCTGATGCAACAAATCTGGCAACTACAAGTCAATTTCTTTTCATGATTCATGAGTCTTTGCTTACATGGTTCTTTAAGCGATGAAATTTGACAACACTGATACGAATTCAGTTTCACAGAGGACTCAATAAAACATAAAAGTGAAGGTTTGTGTAGGAATTTTATCTGCTGCCTTACAATAAACAACCAGGAATTGGATACTGTAAGAATACTGGAAAGGTCACAAATTGGGTATATCATTGAATAACTGCATGGAGTATGGTTCTTCCGAAAATGATCGAGTCATTGGACTTCAAAGTGCACGAAGGCAGTTAGAATGTTTATTCGGTTGTGATTCCATCCAGATGGCTTATTTTATATGAATTGAGTTGCTTCATTTATGCGTAGTAAACATCCTTTTTGCAACGCGGAATAAAAACTGAGGAGAACCTTACAGCTAAACCATTACCATTGGGAAGCACTAGCAGTGGATCGACTAGGAATTAAACCTGAAGTATCACAAGAGAAAAGAAAGTACTCAAACCAATCGAGCATCGTTGAACCAATTACTTTCATTCAGTCTATGCGCGACTTACTATAACCCATGTTTATAAGCTTATTGCCGGGGTATAAACCAGTCCGTCTTAGTACTAACCTCCAGGGATCATGACGTTTATTTGAGGTGAATATCAAGATATTTAGCTTGAAAACTATCTGGTCCCAAGCCTGGGGTTTTTATTTAATTACACGAAAACTTGTGTTTATTATTTCTCAGTATTCGTTTATGGAATCCAAATAGAATCGCTCACTCTTCGTAGTTTAGTTTGGCTTAATTGCAGTTCATTCCATTAGATGATAAAAAAAATTCAATTGTTCTTGGAATATTTTATTTCGATTCCCGACAGCAATACTTGGAGTGATCTTGTTCCCCGTTAACAATCGGAAACGTACATTGAAACTTCTGACACGGGTTTCGTCTATAGTCTGTTTGTACAACACGTCAATGTAATACGCAAACTACATAATGGGCCCAGTTGGTAACTGATCTCATTGATATGAAGTGAGAAACTTAAAGTCTACGTGAAATGAACAAATTGATAGCATTTTGGAGTTCTCACCTATTTGCAAAATAGCTGTATGGTCAGTTTCACCTCAGTGATTAAACACTTTATGATTGTTTAGCACGCGGAAGTAGGTATTGGACCAATTATTCAAACAACCGAGGCAAACGAGGTTGTGGATTTCACGCAACCGTATTTGCCTACATCCGGAATCTCAATCGTGATGCGACGTACACGAGAGAATATGGTCACTCCGCTGTTCTACGTCCATGTATTCACGGGGTGAGTTGATTGCTCTCTTCTGCGTAAAGGCTTATTTTTAGGAATCGTTTATTACTCGCCTGACCGGATTCCATTTTAAATGAAAAGTTTAACTTTGTTTTAGAAGTTAATATAGAATAATAATAGACCGTTGATACTCCGGGTTTTCCAGAGGATTTGTGCGTTGTGTTCAGGGGGTTGGTATAATGTTAGGTTCATCCTAAACAAAAGTAGTAAACCACGAGGCTTCTGTTCCCGTTGAAAGGCTTCCGTTGAGTCATTTCAATAGGCCTCACAAAATCACAGCTATCCAATAGAAAATCGTGGGATCAACCCTAAACAGAAGTGTGTTTGCATTCTGTATTTGTGATTTTTTCTGTCTTCTTGTTCAATTGGAATCTAATGCGCCATTGGATTGGCTTATTCTATTAACCATCAAATTGGGTTCGAAAATCTTTTTAGGTCAAACATTCTGATTTTTAATTTCAGAATAACGTTTTCGTGCTTCCCGCATCTTCAGAGCAGAAACACCAGTGCAAGTTTCTTTGAAGGTAAAATACATTGGACAACGTCTTATTAGGGTACAGCATATATATATACGTGTATTTGCGCTCAATGTAGTACTTCAAATTTCGTAGGCTTTGTTCGTACACTTATTTTGCATTGAACAGGTTGCTGATGAATGGTTTCTATTTCAGAGCTCACCGTTTTACTTAGGGAATTTGATTCACAATGAAAATGATTTTATCTGAACGGATGCACTGTTTTGGAAACGAAGATTTGTCGTAGCAATCTGAAACCTGCGACTCATTTTATCTGCCATTTGAACAAGTCTACTCCAGTCCACTGTTTCACAAATTATTGACGCATTTTGATAAATCTCTAACCAAGTGGCTAGATCACCAAGTTGAGACCCGGAAGTCCCGGGTTCGAACCGTTCCACCGCCACCCGTCTTCCCAATTCCTGTACTTCCCAGGTGGTCTTTGTATGGCCACAGCCCTCCTCCTGAAAGTTGACTGTACATTTATATATTCTGGTACATTCCCGGATCGCCCAGAGCGAGTGGAAGAACAAAGACCGTCTGATCGTCAGATGGTGTATGATCGAATGCATGCGTCAAGAACTAAACCACATGACAAGAGCGACAATCACAACATCATAAAAGGTCAAGGTCAATGACACGGTTTGTTCACCTACTGACCCTCGGCACCCCTAACAGATGAAAAAGGAAGTGAAATACATTTATTTTTATTTTTTTATAATTTGATTTTTTCTCCTTCAAAAAATCTGCAAAATGTCACCAATTTTGATAGATTTTCGCAGTGAAATTCCTATTCGATTTATTGATAAAATGATCTGNACACACACACACACACACACACACACACACACACACACACACACACACATACATACACATACACCAACGCATACACACGATAATCAGGTATGTCTGGCTTGTCTGCGGTGCTCTCATTCTGATCTTGGGAACTTCCGCGTGGGCTTTTGAATTGATCTCACCATATCGAGAACCTGCTCCACCAGGTCATCAGGGTTTCATTGATCGATTGAGACTGGGAAGACTTTTTGATCTGGTATCTTTTGCCACAAGCAGTTGGGCATCCCAAGGTAAGCATTTGAATGCATCATATTGATTTCAATCTTCTCCGTTCTTTGCGTATCATTTAAGGAAAATTGTTAAGAAGGATTCATAATCATAAAAGTGAAGTTAGTAACGATCAGTTGTTGTTCATACAGACCGAAAACCAATCCTGTCTCAGAAGTTTTGATAAAACATTTTCTAAGTCGTCTTTGAGTAGAACATCTTCCCCTCCTGTTTCCAAAAGCTTTATTCACTAATGAATCCATGTTTCATCAAAAGATAAGTTTATATCTTTTAAACAAAAAAACAAAAAATAAAATAAAATTTATATTTGTCATCTTTGACTGCACATACACATGCATGTTCAAATTTCACGAAGAGAGAACTACCAACTTTTAACTTTATGTACTGCCTGATAACTGCTGCAGTAAACTGAATGAAAAAGACAAATTCCCTTTTGTGTCTCATGATTCCACTTCAGTCTAAATCACGTCCTATTTTGGGCAAATTATCTGATTAAAACATTCATCGTAGTGGGGACTAACGGCGTTTTCAAGCGGTTAGATTTACCTTCAGTAACATTTCCCAGGGCTCTAAGATTCGAATCCTAACACCACTACCCAAATTTGCTGGTAGACAACTTTGCTATGGTCCAGCTCAATACTAAACCTATTCTGGTGAAGTTTACTGTGATTCAACGCTGTACTTATGTCATGCTCCAGGTATTCATTTTTTATAACCCATGTGTCTATTGCATCTAAACTTTCCACAGTTAATCGCACTACGACTTGTACTAAAATACTTCTCAAGGCCGACAGAGGTAATCTATGAAAGTTAAATACCAAATGTTATAAAAGGGCCTATCCGAATAAATCGAGCCAGTATTACAAAGCTCTAACGAAAGAAGCCTGTCAGGAGTGGTCGTCCTCCGTTAAGCGCATCCAAGGTGAATTCAATTTTGATGTACTGCGTTGATGCACCGTAGCGCACAACAGTCACGTGGATCCCGCCACTAGTTTTTTTAATTTCGTCAACATCACACTGTCTAGCCAGTTAACCGATTTCAGAAGCAGCCCACTCAACTATATAAAACCATAAAAGCATTAATGAGACCAAAGCTCCATTAGGACGCTTGTATATTTACCAAATGCCTATGATGCGGCCAAAACGAACCACTGGAAGACCAATTAGAAGTGATTTTCAAAAATGTTTTACCACCATTTATATTTTACGAATTGTTTATCAGTCAATTCGCTTGACTCAATACCCAAACAGGATGCAAATGAAAACAGGTGGGTTAGACACTAAGGTAGGTCTCGCGTGTTCGGGATGAATCAGTTATAAATTATCATTCGCACGAAACTCGAATGAGTAGAAATTGCTGCTCAGGACCACATTTTGCAAGTTTAACAGCCTTTTGCTCAAACATTATTTACATCCTGGATAGTCGGCTGCAGCTCTATTAGGGAGCGTGAAACTAGGTAAGTCAATTCGGGATGTTGAAAAAGAATGTAAATTGGTCAACCCAGATAGATCATTACCGACGGTTCTTTCACATACGTAAGAAAAAGAATACAACTCCCATTCAGTTTGAGGAGGACACATTTCTCACCTTTTCACCAAGTTCATGCTGCAAAGTAATCAACGTAACTCTGAAACACAAATCAGCAAACCAGCACTGTATTTTTTTTGAGAGTTTATGCTCTCAAAATACGAGAAAACCTGTAGCTACGACCCTTTTTAAATTTTCTTCAAATTCTCTTGTTACCGGAAACATATTTGAACAAAACGTGTCCCTATGCTAGAAAAGAACTAGGACTGTTTGGCCGCTTAAGTGAGAATGTTTACCTAATTTGTAATAAAGTTTTTGGTTTTTGTGGTGCTTTCTGGTCGGTGTGAGTAGGAATAATATCCGCACACTTTTGGCATGCTGAGATTTGAATTACATTATCAAAGTACCACATCAGAGTAATACCCACTAAGTGAAAGTAAATGAAATCCAGTTAAGATTTTCCATTGTACTATGCTACTACAACGTGAACAAAAACTAGAAGCAAGCTGATTGATGAAAAAGACACGTCGTGTGCCAAGTGATTTTTGCGTTATGTTAACTAGACTTTGATAGCTCAGTGCAATGGATACGCAGGTGTTCATGTGACGCGAAGGAGCAGAAAAACTGTGCTCCGTATGCGTATTGCGCATATACTCTTGATCTTCACTTCACATTACCAGCGGTTCATTTCCTCTTTTCGTGTGTTTGCGTCAAACTCAATTTGGCATCAGAGTAACGCTTTAATTATGGGTCTACGCCCCAATTTTCTTGATTGCACATAGCAAAAAGTTAGCCACTGGAGATGGGGGAGTAATATATCCTGCGGTTGCGCTTGATGCGCCGTTCTCTAAATACTTTTACTAAACAACGAGATCGTTGAGAAATTGGAAGCATAGTTTCCCCGTAACGAATTTGAATAAAGATGCCAAAAACAGATTTGCACAATGTATCCTGGATCATTTCGCTGCATCTGTGCACGCGCATACTGCAGTCTATGTGATCATTAATATATGGTCAGTAAATAACAGAATCATAGGCGGAGAAAGATTGCGGTCAAAATTACTCACCAAACACATTTGTTACCAAGGCAGCGCCGGAGTGATAAGTCATTCACGCTGTTTACACAGTTTGGGATGATAATTTTGAATGGCTAGTGCCTCGGTGTATTTCAGAATCCTCTACAACACAAACAACACCAAGGTTCTGAAATATGCCGAGGCACTAACCATTCAAAATTACCATCCCAAACTATGTAAACAGCGTGAATAGCTTATCACTCCGGCGCTGCCTTGGTAACAAATGTGTTTGGTGAGTAATTTTGACCG